GGTGACTTATAACTCCCGTCCGCCCGCCCTGCTCGGCGTGGCCGGCCGTCCGGGCGCTCGGGCAGCGCTGCCGAGGGTGAGTAGCCTCGGGGCCGGAGTTTTCGGGGTCGCGAGGACCCGGGCTGGACGCCGAGACCCGGCCCCCTTCTACACAACCGCCGAGCCCCAGGAAACAAGGGGCGGGACGCGGGTAACCGAAGCTCTGAGGTCGGGGAGGAGTCCTCAGGAACCAGGTGCCCGCCGTTGGAGTCCTAGAGATCTCCACCGCCCCTACCCCGGGTTTCCTGGCCAAGGTGTGTCCTCAAAATGCGGTCCGGCAGTAACTCTTGCACCCAGAGCGGAGGCCTTCCGCCAGCTCCCTCTGGGGCTTCAGGCTCCAGTGTGGAGACCTCTCTGAGCTGCTCAGAGTGTCATTTCTAGGCCTGCCCTCAAGGTCCGGGCCAGGGCACCCCGTCCCCTTCACTGGCCCCTCACCCCCGTAATCCTGGGATTCTGGGGTGACCGGGGCAGGGGGCAACTCAGGGTCACCTAGGTCGAGGCCTGGGGGGTTGCGGAACCTAGGGACGAGTTTTCAGGTGGCAGGAGGTGGTTTTTGCTGAGTCTTAGCTGTGTGCTCTGCCGGGCTCACCTGCCTGGCTCAGGTTCAGGTGCAGGCCTGCAAGGAGCCCAGGGGCAGCGATGCTCCAGCATGTGTACCCTGGGGTTGCAGAGGACCGGTCTGGTTTCTGACCGAAGGAGGCCGTTCAAGTGAGGTTAAGATCTCACGCCTGCCAGGGCTGGGCCACTCTGGGCCCCTCACTCAACCTCTCTGAATTGTTTTGGGCCCTGTGGTCCCTGAGATCATTTCCGGGTCTAAGTCATCTTTCTGCTCAGCAAACACCTGCTGGGTGCTAGGTCCGGGGGTGCAAAGGTGAACAGCACACGGAATGGCCAATGGGTGCTCTTGGGCTGAGGATGGGCACAGGGAGAAGACTGTCCAAGGGCACAAGTGCCCGCCCTGCCCCCGAGGTGCAGGTGAAAACAGCCTCATCTACCACCTGAGAACGTGACCTTTGTCCCTGGTGCCGAGGAACTGCAGCAGAGGTTAGGTGGTGGTACGTACAGTCTTGGGAGGGCCACCAGTGTGGCCGTGCAGGGTGGGCTGGGGGCAGTCTGGCCTAGGCCAGTGAGGAGACAGCTGTTCACCAACACAAGTTCACTTGGTGGACATCCCAGGCCAGGCCTGGGCCAGGCTCCCAGCTGCCAACTGGGCTGGCCCGGCCTGTCAGGTGCGAGGACTTTGGGACAGCCAGGGAGGCTGAGGCCGGCCACAGGCAGGGCTTGTGGGGCTGTGTGTGTAGAGAAGTGGGGATTGGCCTGGAGGAGGGGAGCTTCCCCAGGGTAAGGTCTAGGAGGGGTGCAGGAAAATGCAGGAGTTGGGGTTCAGCTCTTGTGGTCTGATGGGACAGGGAGACCAGTGTGGCTTGGCCTGAGGCGGGACTTGGTCAGGGAGGAAGTGGGCTTGGAAATGGGAGTGAGGTCAGGGATGAATTTGTTTAATTAAGAGAGAAACTGAGGTTCTTTCTCCAGGGGACAAAGCCAGTGGTTAGAGAAGGAGTGGTGAGGTTGATGGTTGATGCGGGGGCAGCTCAGAGCGTGGGTAGGAGTGGAAGGAGGGGGACCCAGGAAGGAGGTGCTGGGCAGAGACTCTGGACACAGCCTGAGTGGATTCCCCTGCGGTCCTGCGTCCAGCGATGACAGTGCCCCGGCTGCTGCCCTCTAGGGTTTAGGGACAGGGGTGATGCCAGTTCTGTGGGGCTGTGGGGTCAGGGACTGGGGGGAAGGTCACTGAGGGAAAACAGGGTGTGCCTGCCTGTCTACTTGGGGGTGTCCACCTGACTCGGAAGGTCACGCTGCAAGCGCCCCTCCGAGAGGTTCCTGTTGCTTAGGTGTGTAGCCGCCAAGGTGGCCTGCTAGAGGGGACACACTTGTCTGGAAACCTGAGCCTCCTAACTCTGTGGCTTTAGGACCTGGAGGCAGGGCCACCAGAGGTCCGGAGGTCTCAGCTTCATCCTTCTCTGTGACCTCAGGCAAGTCGCTGCTGTTTTCGGAATCTCGGTTTCCTTTTCTATAAAATGTGTGGGTGAGGCAGGGCAGTGGTGATGGGGTGTATGAGTCACAGAGAGGAGTGAGGGACCTTGGGGGCTCTCTACCCTGCCTCCGAGGGTCAGCTGTGTTCTTGAAAGAGCCACATGACAGTGTGCCCACATATCTGGGGTTGGGAAGGAACTCATTCCGGGGTTGACTGGAGGAATAACCAAGCACAGACCTTTCTCTAGGGTGGGCCTGCCCACCCTGCAGCCCTGGGTCGAGCTTCCTCCTTTCTCACATGGGAGGAGCAAAGGTCACGACCTCTGCTGGCACCTGAAAGGCTGCTATGTCCAGTAGCCCTGACCCCTGACCCAGGCCTGTGGGACAAACTTGCTGCTGCTGGGGGTCAAGATGTCTATCTTCCAGACTGCCTGGGTCTGTGACTCACTCACTGCGGGCCTTGGGTGAGGCTCTTAGTCTCTTGGAGCCTCAGTTTCCCCATCTGTAAACTTGGGGCCTCCCTAGCAGAGCTGTTGGGACCCTCAGAAGAAACAGGAGATAGGAAAGCAAGTCGAGGGACAAGTAGTTGGCGTAATGGCTATGTTGCAAGACTCCCATGTAGTTGACCGTGGTTCGAGTCCAGACCCAGTGGCTTAAACTCACACTGGGTGCGTGTGCGTGCATGTCCAAGATCTTGAGAGGAGAATGGAGGAGAAGGGATTGCAGTGTGGCCATCCCCCCTGGAGGGTGATTCTCACTTTCTATCTCTCCCTGTCTTTCTGGTGAGCTCACATGCCCTATAGCAAAAAACCTCTTAAAAAAAAAAAGGAAAGCAAGTCAAAGAACTTAAAAGTGCTGTGTAAATTTAGGGGTAGGGGAAGCAAGACAATTAAAAGAATAAAAAAAGAAACCCTAATACCTCTGTGACCCACACAGGGAAATTCCCTCGGACCCCCAGTCCCTGTAACTTTGTGGCTTCTGTCACTACTGTTCAGACCTCTGTGTCTCTGCCTGATCCATCCCTGAGAGGATAAGGGCACCAAAGTTGTTGACATGTCCGGGTCCAGCCTCCGCCCACACAGGTGGAATTTTCCACTTCGTTCTTTTGCAAATATTAATCAAGGCCTGGCTGATCGACAGTGGATCCATTGTCTCGTGAAGAGTGAGTCTTTTCTGGCAAATACTGGCTGCCTCCCAGGGCCCCAGCGGCCAGCCTGGGTATTCCCTTTCCCCACCCCTGTCCCCGAGCCGCTTGTTCTGCCCCAGCTGATGGGGCTTTGCAGGACACAAGATTCTGCAGTAGGAGTAAGACAGTAAACACGTTTTTTGGTAACTCTAACCAGGTCTCTGAACCTTTGTACGTTTCTTTATGCATTTGACAACTACTGAGGCATTAAACCATCTCAAACACACACTATGCCACCCGCCATCTTCACCTGAATACTGTTACACAAATAGAAGAATGTTTTGCTAAGCTTGAAATATTTCTTCCTAGGTATTGTTCCTCCACTCCATTTTATGCCACAAACACATGGTCTCAAATTTTATAGTCAAAGGTTATCTATATCCATTTATTTATTAACTTTTTAAGCAAACATTTATTGAGCAACTACTATATGCCAGGAATTATACAGAGTACTGAGAACACAGTGGTGAGCAAGACAGATGATGTAGAATGCCTTCTGACTGAATTCTACTAGATTGGGGCCAGCAGATGGCGTAGTGATTAAAGGCACCGTATTCTCTAATGGCCGAATGCAGTTTGAGTCCCAGACCTGGAGGCTTGTTTTTTCACTTTCCTGTTATCTCTCTTTCTCTCTCTGGTGAGTGCATGTGACCTGTAGCAAATTAAAAAAAATAATAATACATAATTAATTTTAAAAATTTGCTATAGGGCAGGGGGGTGCTCATTAGCGAGAGAAGGAAAATGAGAAAGGACCCCCACCCCCAGTGAGGAGAGCAGGCCATAATCTTCTCTCAGAATTTTGGGCATGCATGCACACACACACACACACACACACACACACACACACACACACCATGTTTTTTAAGCCACCAGGTCCAGGACTTGGACCGCACAGTTGACCAGGTGGGATCCAGTTGCTTTAACTACCACGCCACCTGCTGGTCCAGCACTTTGAATTTGTCGAAAGCGGTTTTTAGCTTTATTTTCTCTTGCCTCATTAAAGTACCAGCCCACCAACCTGCACAATGTCAGCTCTGTTCCCATCTTACAGGCCCAGAGATGACGTTGTGGTTGGATAATGGTGTCACTCCCAAGGCTGCACGTTTGGAATTCAGTCTTACTGGTGTGAAAGTAAAACAACCCAGAGCCAACAGTGGAATACAAGATCCATTTACATTTTATTTTAAGAGAGATTTTTGCTATAGGGCACATGTATTCATTAGAGAGACAGACACAGAAAGCAAGAAATCACTCTCCGAGGGGGTGGGGGGGATGGTCATGCTGCAATCCCTTCTCCTTCATTTTCCTCTTGGGAATTTAGACATGCACGCACATGCACCCGGCATGAGTTTTAAGCCACCGGGGCCAGGACTCATACCGTGGTCGA